CGACAACAACAACGACAACGACGACAACGACGACAACGACAACAACGACAACAACGACAACGACAACAACAGCGACAACAACAATAACAACAACGACAACAACAACAACAACAACGACAACAACGACAACAACAACAACAACGACAACAACAACGACAACAACAACAACAACGACAACAACAACAACAACGACAACAACGACAACGACGACAACAACAACGACGACAACAACAACGACAACAACGACAACAACAACGACAACGACAACAACAACAACAACAACGACAACAACGACAACAACAACGACAACGACAACAACGACAACAACGACAACAACAACAACAACGACAACAACAACGACAACAACAGCGACAACAACAACAATAACAACAACGACAACAACAACAACGACAACGACAACAACGACAACAACAACGACAACAACGACAACGACAACAACGACAACAACAACGACAACGACAACAACAACAACAACAACGACAACAACGACAACAACAACGACAACGACAACAACAACAACGACAACAACGACAACAACAACAACAATAACAACAACGACAACAACAACAGCGACAACAACAACAATAACAACAACGACAACAACGACAACAACAACAACAACAACGACAACAACGACAACAACAACGGCAACAACAACAACAACAACGACAACAACAACAACGACAACAACAACAACGACAACGACAACAACGACAACAACAACAGCGACCACGTGCGCAGGTGTGGCTGCTGACGACCACCACCATGGCGCAGCGCACCGCGCTGGAGACTCTCACGAGGAGGAACGGTCTCGCCATCTTTCCGCCGTCCGGGATCGCCGTCGACGCCGCGGTGGCCGCGACGACGTCGGCTACGCCGGCGTCGTCGCGGCCCAGCGGCAGAGCGGAGGGGTCACGGTGTACGTGGCGGAGGAGGCGATGGCGGAGCGCCTGGTGGAGACGGGGCTCACCGTGGGTGAGCTTCACCTGCGGTGCGCCCCGCTCGCCGTCCGGGTGGCGCTCTCGGGCGCGCCGCCCTTTCTGAGCAGCGCCGACCTGCTGCGGGAACTCCATCGCTACGGGACGGCGGTGTCGAAGGTCACGCTGCTGCCTCTACGAACGAGGGACCCCGGGTTGGCGCACGTATTGTCGCTTCAGCGCCAGGTTTTCATGGTCTTGAAGGATGGCAACGCAGACTTAGGTGTTAACTTTAAGCACACGGTGCAGGGCCACGTGTACACAGTGCACGCATCCACGGCTGGGATGCGTTGTTTCGGGTGTGGAGGCAGCGGCCACGCCCGGAGGAACTGCCCGAACAGGGCGAGCGAGTCCGCCGCGCCGCCCGCAACGGGGCGGGCGGAGCAGCAGCAGAGACAGCAGCAGCAGCGGCCGCAGCAACAGCACCGCCATCGACTACAACAAGAAGAACACCAAAATCAACAACAGCAGCAGCAGCAGGGAGGGCAGCGGGGTGACCTCGCCGTCCTGGCAGCTGACTGCGGGGCACGGACGACCGAGGACGAGGGAGACGTTTTCGTCCGCCCGTCCGCCCCTCCCCGGCGGAGGAAGCGGAGGGCCAGGAGCGACCCCGCGTCGGCGGGACGTGTCGGGGTCCCCGCGAAGCGGACGGTGGTCGCCGGCGACAACAAACCGAGCCGGAGGACCGCACGGAAGCGGCGACGGGGAGCGACGACGAACCCGGGCCGCGGGACGGGATGAGCGACGACGGCGGACTCCGCCTGCCGGACGACGTCGCGGTAGCAGAGCGACCATCGGAGCCGGACCCAGCCTTGGCCGCTCCGGAATTGCAGACCACCACCACCACCATCACCTTCACCGACGCTGCCGCGCCTGACGGTGCCATGACGCCCGCCGGTGCCGCGGCGCACGCGAGAGACGAGCAGCCCGCCTCCCCGTCTGACGGGGCGATGGCTGCTGGACCCGCGGAGGTGCACCACCCCAAGCCCGAGAAAAACCCGGCTCGGGGTGGCCTGACACGAGAGGCGGCCGCCAAGCCCCAAGAGAACATACAAGGCGACTGTAAAAACAACAGCAACGAAAACAACGACGACGACAACACCTACAGGGACGACGGGTGGTTAAGGTCCAACGTTGTTGAGAACACAAGTGAAACGAGCCACCCGCGAGTCCGGAGGGGGATAGAGTACAACCCAGGGGCCATCATTGACTACGTACGACACCCCTTCAAGGGGCGCGCGGGCATCTTCAGAGAGCAATTCCGCGACGCGCTGGCCTTCATACAGGCCGCGCGACCACTTTGCAAGGATCCGCACAGGTACGTCTGCAGCCGGAAGGAGGCCGACAAGGTGGAGGCTCTAGTACGGAAGGCAGAGAGGAGGTATTCCTCCCAGCTAAAGGGGCCCCCTGTGGCCACCGCCAACACCAACACCTAGCGTTGTGGCCTCGGGATTTAAAAGGGCAAGGTGCGCGATGACGCGCGCGGACTCGAAACGGTTTCCTCTGCACACGCGATCACCTGGGCTGGCGGTGGACCGTGAGCCACCTGGGCTGGCGGTAGCCGCGCCAGGAGGTGTGCTGTGCGTGCCTCGTGTGCAGCACGTCCACTGAAGCGGTCTGTATACCTACCTCCATTGGCGGCGATCAGCTGCGTTGTTTGGATGTGCGTGTGGTGACGCGCGCGGACCTGTTTTGATTTTGTTTTGATTTTGTTTTGGTGGCTGGGTTCACCCGTACCGTGGGGGGCGGAGCGTGGTTCGCACTTTGGACCCGGTTTTTTTTCCCGCTTCTGTGTCATTGCGGAACGGTGTTGGTTTTCGATATGTGCGCTTGTGTTGACGGTGACGAGGTTGTTGCCTGTGGCTGGTGTCGATGGTCTTGCGCGCGATGACGCGCACGGACAGTTGGCTTTTTTTATTGGCGACTCTCGCAATGGAGCACCGGAACCGTCCAGGGCATTTGCCGCTGGACAATAAAGTTTATTTAAAAGTCAAGTCTATGGTCTTGTTCTCTTTGTGTCTCTTTCTCTGTGGTTGTCCCTCTGTGTCTCTCTCGCTGTGTGTGTCGCTCGGTGTGTCTGTGTCTCTCTCGCTCTGTGTCTCTGCACGCATACCACACACATGTCGGTGATGTGCACGTCTTCTTCGAACGCTGGGGAGCCGGACAAGCCCCTCTGTACTAGCGTGGACGACATCCTCGTGTTCACCTTCTGAAGCGCTCGCTCGTCAACGTGGCGTGCGCGAATGACCACCACAACCATCACGTGGCTTATCTTTCGTGTTGCGCGCGGTGCTTTTTAGCGCCACAGCGCGTGGATTTGTAACGTTTTTTTTTCATTTGTTCGCTGGTGACTTTGTGTATTTCATATCTAAATCGCCTCCAGTGCTTTTGCTGCTGGCGTCAATAAAAGTTGTTTAAAAGTCTCTCTCTCTCTCTCCACGTGTATCTCTTTCTATTACGTTTTTTTTTTATTCCTGTTGCCCGCCTCTCTTGACAATGACACGCCAATCTTCTCATTGGCACACCTCCGGTGGCTGGGCCGTCTCACATTGACATGCTAATCTCTCACATTTACATTCAAATTCCTTCTCGAGCTCCGTCCACTTACCCTTGGGTCGGGCCCACTAGAATCCTATATAACCTCTTGTTGCAGCAGTCCACCTGCTGTTTGTTTCACCTGATGACGGACGCTCGTGTTGCGATGGAAACGTCGTGATCTATTATTTTTATACCTACGTGATGACTTGACCGAAAGAACCAAAGAGTATGGATTCCCGCAGCCACGAAAGCTTCAAATCAAGATTGTTTATTTGGAGTTTGCACGTTCTCCCGTCGGTCGTGTGGATTTTTCTCCAGGTCCTCCGATTTTTCCCTCCACATTTAGAACGCTGCGTTTAGGGTATTTGGCTGCAATACAATTTCACATGATAAACCACTTCGCTATCATCTGTGGCCAGGTCGCTTCTGAAAAAGTGCTATATAACTCAGTGGGCCTTGCCTGTCAAAATAAAGATACGGTAAAACCTTGGATTGCGAGTAACTTGGTCTGCAAATGTTTTGCAAGACGAGCAAAAATGTTAAATAAATATTAATTTGATAAACGAGCGAGTGTCTTGCAATACGAGTAGTGTACGTGTACGCTTTGTACTGCCGAGCGTCACGTGATCACAACTGATATACGAGCGCTTTGATATCCGAGTGCTTTGGATTACAAACACGTTTCCGGAACGATATATGCTCGCAATCCAAGGTTTTACTGTAGTTTAGTTCAGAGTGGGCAGAGTGATATCTAAGATTTCACTTCCAATTTCACCATTACCGTGGTGACCCACGTGACGAATCGGTTTGCATTCTTTCATTTGCAGAGGATGCATGTTTTGCCCAATAACGGCGTGAAACATTTAACGTGACGCTAGAGGTAGGATTGGTGTAAAAAAGAAACCATCAAACCATCTTGCTCCATCCCGTAAGTACTCAGATATATAATCTAGACAAGGTATGTTTTTTCCCCCCCAATGCATTCTCAAATGAGAATATTTTCTTGGGGTTTCTTAATATATATATGAAAACACATAAATGTAACGTTATTGTACGATTGACACATAGTTTACAGGCATGTGTATAGTTCATAGCCATATTAAGGTCACCCTTGAAAAAAAGAGGCATTGTTTCATTACTCTATGAGTTTGTTTAACCACCTGGATAATTATAGAGGATATAACAAAAAACATCCGTCAATCCACTGCTGGATGAAGGCTACTCCCATGCTGTATCGGTCATGGGAGTTGTTTGGTCACACAAGTCGTGTGGACGGATGAAGGGTGTGTGTTGGGCATAGAGGACTGGTTCAGATAACTATATTCGTTGGGTCTTTCGGTAAAGTCACCTAGATGGGTTCAAATGAATAAAATAAACAAAAAACTACGACGTTTCGATCACAACACAGACGCCTGTGTTGTGATCGAAACGACGTAATTATTTGTTTATTTTATTTTTATTAATTTGAACATATCCACGTGACTTTACCGAAAGATCCAAAGAATATGAATTCCTGCAGTCACGAAAGCTTTAAGTCAAGAATTTGGTTCAGATATCGCTCGCCGCTTGTTGGCCATGGCCTGGAATCGAACTCGGGATCACAGTGCTCATACTGCAACGTGCTAACCACTGCAGCCGAGCCAGCCAGGGACGAACAGTTAAATCACAATTGCATTGGAAAATAAAAAAAACCTCCATCTAGGCTCTGTGCTTCATTAATGAAACTGCCGACAAGCTGGTAACTCAATACCCAATACAGCCACACAAAACTGCTTGCCCGCTCCACTCTGCGGTGCAATGGCTGCATGGAGCGGTGGGAATGTTTACTGTGAGCAGGAGGTGCACTGCTCACCAACCTCAAGCTCCAAAACCGTTATTCCTCAGCCGAGGTAATTTCCAGACTGGAAACATTTTTTTCCGGGAAACTTGTTCGTACATTTAAAAAAAAAACATAATTTCAACCCCCCCCCCCCCCCCCCCCCCCCCCTCGAGCTGGCCAACTGGCCAGGTGGCTCAGCGGAAAAGCAAGCGGACCACAATCAGAAGGTCGCGAGTTAAAATCCTGGTTAGTGGATGACTCGGCGAAAGGACGGATGCCGCCGTCAGCGACGTGTGGGGGTTGAGGCAATGCAATTCAGGTAGTGGTCATAATAAAGTGACGACGTATTTGCGAGACCACGTAAATACCCCGATGTAAACCGGGGTATTACTGCGCTGCAAATAAGAAAAACATATTTTGGTGGGGGGGGGGGACCCTTAAAAGAAAAATATCTCAAGAGCGATTTTTTTTTTACATATATATAAAATTGCACACCCCAAGCTCAGACAATGTACAGCGTGCAAAGGCAATGCTGATTTGTTAGCGGAGTCTCCACGCTGTTGCGGAAACATCGCTTGCCAGACAATCCCAGTACGTTACTATATTCGCACAGCGACTACTGGAGCATTGGACCGACTCGGCCCGACGAAGGGTGGCGGGGATCAGAGGCGGCGTTGGGAGCGACCGTCGGTTGCGGGGGCGACGGTGCGGCGGGCAGCCACGCGGACGAATCGGCGGCGGCGCCCTGCCGGCAGCTGTAGTCCCACGTCAGCTCCTCGCCCGCCCGCACGAACCTGGGGCGGCACACGCCGCGTTACCGGGACGACGTCGCGAGCGGACGTCGCCGCACGGCGCCGCGTCTGGCCGCGCGAACGTCACTCGGGCACAACCCCTGCCAGCTGCCGTCACGGCAGGGCCGGGGAGCGGCGGTACGGTGGTTAGCTATGTGGGGGAATCTCTGTCACGCGTGTCACGGTACCTCGATCGTACCTCACGGGATCTGATCGCTAATCAAGCCGCGTTGAGCTCATGCCACAGTGTGTGATCGTACATTAAAGCACCTGATGGCATTTCACAGTGACACAGCACCTGGCTAATATCAGCATCTCGCTGTATATTACAGCAGCTGAAGCTCACGTGACAGCACTTGATCAAATGTCACATCAGCTGATTGTACATCAAAGCAGTTGAACACGCATCACTCCACAATGATCGTACATCGAAACACCTGAGCATGTCACAGCATCTGGCTTCACGTCAGCATCCGATGTGACATGTGATATCACAGCACCTGATATTACATCACAGTACCTGATCGCAAGCAAATACATGCCACAACACAAAAAGCCTTCGCTTGCTAACACGCAGTTCAACTCCGGTGATCCACACGGCAGCGGCTTTTTTGGCTAACCATTGAACAAAGACGGTCGCTGCATCGAGTGCTTTCAGATGCCTTTCTGCGGCCGTCTGGAATGCTCTTCCTTCCGATATTAGGAAGCCACTGGAGCCGTGCATGTTTCAAATCTAAACTTGAAAATAATTTCTTTAGAACAGTTTTTTTGTGTTTAATTTGTTGTACTTCTGCCCTGCACCTCCGATTAGCACGGTTGGCTACGTACAGTGGGAAAGAAGTTCATCGTACATACAACTCAAAAAGGGACAGGTGAGTCAACGAGTTGAACACGTAGGCTTTCGTGACCAATATCAAGGTTTTTTTGGGTTAGATTGTGTAAATATAAATGTGCCGTACCACCGGACACAGTCAATTAGTAAGCTTTGTCATGTAAAGCAAAAACGTGCCTATTAGTTCGGCACACCCGGTGTCGTGGCTGAGTAATCCCGCGCCGTTCCGCTGGCGATCACAACCAGCGTCATCGGGTGATCCGTCAGAATTGTCAAGAGGGTCTTCCCGCGCGGGTCACCGAGCAAACGAGCACCGACATTGAACGCAGCCGCACGCTCGCCCGGACACCGGCGCGTCAGCGGCCCCGGGCTCGCTGACGCGCCGCTGGGGGTCGCCGCCACCGAGCTCAGCGCTCACCTGTGGGTGAAGAGCGCGAGCCACGGGAACCGCGGGTCGTGCGTGTCCACAAACACCTCCTGGATGAACATGTTGGGGCTGGAGCTGTGCTGTGAGACAAACCCGGCAGGTTCCAACACACGCGCGCGCGCGCACACGAACAAAAGACATAAATATTGACATTGATTTGGCGCTTGCAGTAAGTGGCGAGGGATCCCACAGCAGTCTTGCGTTGAGGGCAGTCCCCGGCTCCGGAACTGGCTCCAGTTCATTGTTCTCAGATCTCATCCTTAACCTGTGACTTGGGGTCCTCAGGACACTGCCTGTTTCAAACTGGTCACGTGTAATTAAGATGGAAAATTTCGATTTAAAGCTTTCGTGACTGCAGGGATTCATCTTCTTGGTTCTTTCGGTAAAGTCACCACGTAGAATGGAAATAAAATAATAAAAATAAAACATAATGAAATAAGATTCTCACGACGTTTCGGCCACAAAACAAGTAGCCATCTTCAGGTGAAGAAGGCTACTTGTTTACCGAAAGAACAAGAAGATGATGGAAAATGTTCATGCATTGCCTCTGTCCAACTGACTGTAGCTACTCGGTACGCAGCCTTGAGTAAACCGGGCAAATTGATCAAAGGGATGCTCTAAAACCTTGATAACCGGCGCTGAAACGGTTATCCTTGTCACCAAAAACGATGACAGGACGTAATCGCCTTCGCTCCCGATGACGTTCAGCGACGCCATCTCACGACGTCACGACCGGCCTTGACACTCGCCTCGACATTAATAATGCTCCGAGCCTCAGCCTCGGCTTAGCCTCGTGGGTCTCTAGGAAGTCATCTTCCTAGTGGGGCTCTTTGTCTGGGGCAACCTGAGAGACGTCCGAGACAAGCGGCCGCCCTCCGCTGCGTACTCACGTTTATAAACCTCCCCACGCTCCCCTCCCTCGTGTCCAGCTGATATGCAAAATGCTCTCCCTCCGACTCGGAGCTCAGACTCTCTGCGGGAAAACGGAAACACCCGGATCAGTTTTTCACCGATATCCGCCAATCCGGTGGGACGTTCAATAAACATGTCCGGAAAAGTAATACGCACCCCAAAATTGTACCCGGCGTACAGATCATTTGGTGCTACTGCATTGGCAGTCGTGCACAAGCATCTGCTGCACTCTATTGCCCACCAAGTAGCCTCGCAGCCCGATGCCAAACTGTGTGTGCACAGGGGTCGCCTATCCAAACATCCAGACTGAACCTTGCTTTAGTTTCCGTCATATTATCACATTGGGCACATGGCAGGTGATTTGGTCATAGAAACTAAAACTAAACTATCTTTTATTTTACCGGGTAAGGCCCACTGAGCCATACAGCTCTTTTTTCAGAAGCGACCTGGCCACAAACGATGGCTCAATTAAGTGGATTATCACGGGGACATTAATAGCAGCCAAAAAAAAACTCGAAACCAATTGTTTCTCAATGTGGAGGGAAAACATGGAAGGCCCTTGAAAAAGAATTCACGCGACCACGGAGAGTACATGCAAATTCCAAATATGCAAGCGTCAGGGTTGGTATCTAATCCCCGACTTCCTGTATACCAGGCAAGGTAGTTAACACCTCGACACTGCGGCGCCCCCAAGCAACACAATTGCCCACGCCACAAATATTTTTTTTGCCACAGCATCCGTGGCCACATTCAAAGGCGCCGCACAGAAGGAGCGGACATATCTAGAATTTAGAGACAGAGAGGCAGCCAGTTAAAGGCGGAGAAGAGGAAGGTGTTGAGCCCGGACTTGGAACAGGGTCGAGGAGTCGACAGCACGGGCAGCCGAGTGAAGGCCGAAGAGAATGAGCTCCTTCCCCTACTGAGAGAAGATCGACTGGGGGCATCAATAGAAGCCAGCCAGAACCGAAGTCTCGGTACCCGGAGTGACGTGCACCTTCCCGTCTCACCTAGGCATCCCTTGTAAGATGGTACGGCAACTCCCAAGATTCTTCTAACACCGGGGCCAGCCACTCCTCCACGTCCAGGCATTGCTGTGGCAACACACACGTATACAGGACAGGTACTTACGTACAAAGTGGAGCCCCCTCTCTTTGGTTACCACTGCTTGATGAGGGCTTTCTTGGCTCAGTGCGGGTCGCGGGGGTTAAGGGGCCGTCCATAAATGACGTCACGCGATTTTGGACGATTTTTGACCCCACCCCCCTCGTCACACGGCGTCACAAAAAGTCAGACCCCCCTCCCTCAAATATGACGTCACAAAGCTCTGCCCCCCACTCCCCCCCCCAAAACCATACTGAAAATAAAACATGCTTCAAATGGCTTTAAACTACTGTCATTGTAGTGCGTATTTAATGTGGAGCGCTGCACTCTGATGTCGTAGGAGTGCTGTTATAACAATTCTATATGTATTTAAAGTTGCGCATTTTGATGCCACGTCACATTTCTCAAACCCCCACCCCCCCTCGTCACAAATGTCTGACCCCCCCACCCCCTCCCCCCCAAGTGCGTGACGTCATTTATGGACGGCCCCCTAAGAGTGGGGGCGGCACGTGCCTGCTATGCATACCGGTAAAAAAAAAGTGGACGGTAAAACATCACAGCCACGACGATAATAATAATAATATATACGTATAAAAGTGAGTAGTTTCGCGCGTATGGGCGTGTGTGTCACACGCTACTCGCCGCCAATACGTAACGCCGTTTCTTTCCGGCCTGTTGCTTGGCCAAAACAAAATGTACAATCGGCGACGTTGACACAAATCGATCGCAACGCAGGCGGTCCGTCACCGGGAAGAGGGGAGCTTGTGTTGCCATCGAAACGTCGTCGGTTTTTTTTGTACCTAAAAACCCCAAAGAATAATTTTTTTCTTAGGTTTGTTGAATTCTCGTCTCTCATCTTCTTGTTGTATTTGCCTCCGTGCAGTTTGGCGCTCTCTACGTGTTGCGTTGATGTCACCCTGTGTGCTCCCTCGCTATTTGTTTTTTACACCTGAAGCACGTCGTGATTGATTTATTTTAATATAATTTCGTGGTATTTCTACATACGTGACTTTACCGAAAAAACCAATGAGTAACTTATTATCTTCTTAAATTACCCTCACCATTTACTGCATAGAGCTCGGCGAGAGCACATGGTGAGGGTATGTAACAACATGACACACACGTGTGCTTTATCTGAGCTGTATGCAGTAGATAGTGTGATGTGTAATGTTATGAACAAGCTCATCCCTTTGGCCCAGATAACGCCCGCCCCCCCCCACCCCCCCCCCCCCGCCAGCTAGTAGCAATTAAAAAATACTATAAGTATGTATGAATTGCATTCGCGTATATATGTATTGTTTACTGAATATTGTATTGTACTTCAGAAATGTCATGAATTTAAATAGGAGTCAATTTATTTACATCGCACTGCACGCGTACACACAGTGATTGCACGTGTACTGCCCTTTTGTTAATCCACTGCTGGATGAGGGCCTGCACGTGCCGTTGGGGGGTTATTTGACCGTACTTTACCACGCTGGGTAGTGCAGGTCCTTGAAGGCGGGGAACATAGGACCGGCCAATAATGGATATTTTTTCACTGCCCTCTGCTGACAACGCAACCCCACAGCAGCCTTAAGCACGGTGGCCACCTGTCCAAGCACGATCCAGGCTATACAGCCTGCTTACCTTCGGAGATCGAGGACTTTAAGGGTGATTTTTTTTGGTCATCTGCCATTTCGTTCACAACTACATTTAACAAATTGTCCTGCCGTTGATGTTTTCGTCAGGGCACTCAGGGGCTAATGCCTCCTGGCTGTCTTTCTCTAAGAGCGAAACGCGGGGTACTTCAGAGCTCGACAAAGGGCAACAGATAATGAGCAAAGTGGCAGCTATTGGCATAACCATCGAGCGTGTGCGGGCGGTCCAACTGCACCGGGAACCACGGGGCAGGATGGGTCCCAGCCCAGGCCGACCACGTCACGTAAGGGCGTCGCGCGTGCGTACGTGCGTGCACGCGTGTCTGGATATGCGCACCCTCCGCTGCTGCTGCTGCTGCTGCTCCCGCGAGGTCGTGACCACCGTCTGTGGGCGACGCCGACCCCTGCTGCGTCACGTGACTCTCCTCCATGACCCCTGCACGCGCCGGGCCGGGGGTCGAACAGCGATGAGCGTCAAACACTTGAACAGCTGAAAGCAAGCTGGCCAACGAGTCGGGCATTCACCCCACGTCGCTCCGTTCACAAGGCGCCGGAATAATGGTCGATGAGCTCGCCGCGCAGGCCCTGCGTTCTCAAGTGGCGACCCGCATTCTCGGCGCATATTCACGACATCATCGCGGTCGTGCGCTCTCCACTGCTACACGGTCCTCCCCGTGACATCGCCATCTCTGCTCGCGGACGCCAGCCTCGGGCGCCTTGCCTCTTTCCCGCCGCCGCTCCGCTCCGTCGTGAAGCCTCGCCCACACACTGTCCTTCGACCCGTTTTCCGCGGCGTCGTCCTGCCCAAGGCCGCTTGCAAAAAGCGACGACCCGCGCGCGACGCACGTGTCACCGTGCCTCACCGGCGTGGACGCACACGAAGGCGCCGGCGTCCAGATCGTCCACGCAGCGCACGCCCCACCCGCCCGGCGGCCTGGTGCGGAACACCTGCAGCCTCACGCGCAGCCCGTCACCAACTACGCGGTTCTCACATGGCCACCGCCACGCTACCGTCTCCTCTGTGGCCTCCTCCTCCTCCTCCTCCTCCTCCACCTCCACCTCCATCTGCTCCGCGTTGACTGCTAAGGCCGCTCGACCCCTCCTGCTGCAAGCGCAACGCGCGTTGCACTCGTAGATTCTGTGGTGGCGAGAGGTTGCGACGTCAGGAGGGAGGTGGGGTGACCGATAGAAGAAGAGGCGACGTACGAATGCATGTTGAACTTGTCACGTACACAGAACGTGGCCAATTCGCCACTAGTACAGCACTAACCAGTGTGTGTGTTGGAGAGCCAAGCCACGACATTTACAAACCGAGTACGACGTTTCTCCAGTAATTACAACCAGCTTCATCAGGTGACAGCCAGATTTGTGGAGAAGTGTAATTGTTTCGTTCCTTATATAGAGGCATAGAGGTCAACACATCTACGCCTGTACTAGTTCATAGTTCATAGTTTCATTTATTTTGGAATAGCCCTGTGAGCCATTCGGCTCTTGAATCGGGTGCAACCGCAACAAACAAACAAAACAAAAACATGAACAAGAAAAACATCTTAAAGTGACTTTGTGTGACTGTGCAAACAGAAAATCCAGGAAAAAAAACATCAAAATATTCCTGAAATAGCACCGTACTAGTGAGGAATTGGCCACGTTCTGTTTACGTGACAACCCTTACTAGTTAGGCTGTGTCGGGTGGTGGCGGGTTTTAACGACACACATTTATATATTTACGCCATCTAACCCAAAAACCTCTATTATGGATGTCTTTGGTCGCGAAAGCCTACGTGTTAAACTGATTTTGAACTTATTTCGCACCCTACGTAGCCAACCGTGCCAATCGGAGCTGCGGCGAGGGGTGTAACGTTGCAATTGATAAACGCCCATTATCAAAGGCCAAAGCTCAACCCTGCAATTCCGTGCTCATGTGATTGCTAACGGAGAGGCCTCCACTAGAGGTAGTCCTACAGAGCTCCTCGAAAGGGAAGTTTGGCCTACTTGTCCACGCCGGACAGACGTCTCGGAAGAGGTGGGCGCAGCCAAACTTCACCCCACCACACGCTACCTGCTGATCCACTAACTATGGTGAACCCATCTATACTGCTGGGTGGAAAGAGATGGGTGGGTGGGGGGGGGATTTAATAAAAACTCGCACCACCGTTCAGCAGCCGCGCCGGGAGATCGAACCAGCGACCACGTGATTGTAAGTCCGGTGTGCTAGATGATGCCATTATCACGTGTGGAATAAATTGGGGGGGGGGGGGGGGGGAAAGGGCACTGAATTATTATTCGTAAAGTTTCAGTTTAAGTCTGGGTTTTGGTGCGAGCGGGCGGGTGAGCGAGTGGGCGTGCGGGCGGGCGGGCGAGTGGGCGAGGGGGTGGGCGGGCGAGTGGGCGAGGGGGTGGGCGGACGAGCGGGCGGGCGGGCGGGCGGGCTACCCCGAGGGAACTTTTCCCAGCAGACGCCCGTGGACGTAGCTCGTGGAGCTCCCTCCCTCCAGGGCGACGCTGGCCGACAGTCTCCGGCAGGCACAGCTCTCCCTGAGCACACCCACCAACAGCGGGGCCACCACAGAGAGACGCGCACAGATTACATCGATCAACGTTGCATTCTTATCTCATTCGAATTCACAATAAGTGTCGCGGCGAAGGCGCTGAACAAAGAATGAGCGAGTTGTACAGCAGAATGGCGCGATGAGATGAGCTGATGAGAAGGACGGCAGTACACGAACGTGATGATGATGCGTGAAACAAAAGATGGCGAAAGTGACACTGAGTGGCTGACGATGAAGCGAGCGTGACGGGTTGGTCGAGGAAGTCGGCAGGAGGGATGGGGAAGAGGCGTTTGTGTAAGCGAGGGAAAACCAGCGAGGCTTAAAAGAAGAACGAATAAGGGGGCAGTGACGCGGATTGTTGCTTGATGAGCGCCTCTTCCTTAGCTGGCGGTGTGCCACGTCTAGTTGCTGCCGCAGTTATTTACGTCGACTGTTCATGGCTTGTAAGTCGAAAACGCATGCGCCGCGCGTAGTGTACGCGCCATTACGTGTTGGCTATTCGTGTGCCATTTCACACCGTGGACGCCCTCGAGGGATTAGCGAAGTGAAGGACTCTAAGAGAAAATACGCCGATGCATTGAGCAGTGAACTGTACACTCCAATGATTGTAATTATGGCTGGCTCGGTGGCTTAGTATGTACGTGGAACTTATTTCGCACCGTAAGTAGCTAACTGCGCTAATCTGTAGGTGGGGGGGGGGGGGGGGGGAAGAACAACAAACTAAACACAAAAATCAGTTCTAAGGAAGTGAGTTTTCAATTGAAATTTCGACTGTCGAGTGTGCGGCTCACAGTAAGAAGGTTGCAAATTAAAATCCTGGTGGAGGGGTTGACTCAGCCCATCATCCCTCCGGGGCTACTAAAATTGGTGCCACTCTGCGGGGATGTCAACAAGTGGTTGTTCTACTAAGTAGCTTCTCCCACGCCATAGGAATATTTAATTTCCACCACCGGCTCAAGGGCCGTTCACAGGAAGTGAGCACCGCATCAGCGCTAATTTCAGCGATAATCGCTTTTTTGACCTCACCAATGACGGTCGCAACACTGTCGCAATAATTACGCGTCTCCGCAGTCGTCCACGCAGTCGCAGGCGACGCAGTAGCGGCGCCCCTGCCTGGGCACCGAGCCGCAGGACGGGCGCCAGCGGTACAGGAAGGGCTCGGGCGCGTCAAGCCCCAGCGAGTTCACGCAAGGCACCGCCACGTGCGTCTCGCTGCCCTCCGACAGGTCCTCCACCAGCAGCTGGGGCAGCCCCGAGCCGGGCGGCAGGAGGCGCAGGGCGGCCGGGCAGTAGCCGGGCCCGGCGCCGTTGTCGGCGGGCAGCAGCGCCGGGTTGGGCTCGGAGGACACGCCGACGGACGGGTTGAAGGAGAAGAGGCGCGCGCAGAGGAATTGGCGCCAGCCGGAGTCCACCAGGAAGCGGCGTGCCTCGTCCGCGGAGCCAAGCAGCCGCCCGCAGGGCGCGCGGTAGTGCACCTGGCGCGCGTACGCAAGCGTGCGCCGGGCGCGTCGGTCAAACCTTTCCCCTGCCGAGACGTCCGCAGGTTTGCAGGGTGGGTCCCGTTCACCGCCGGATCTCGCGACGTGCAAGCGGTTGGCGTTAATTGTATTCAGAGAGGCGTAGTGCCGCTGTTTTTAAGGCTACTGGTTACTCACCGCAGAGAACTGTAGCGACGCGACCGCACTCTACGACGGTTCGTACCAAAAGCTGTGCGACGCCCTCCCGATTCGGAATAAAAAAATGATGTGCTTGTGCATCATCGGAATGGGAAAGGGTTAAAACAGGAACTGGTAAAATTTTTATTTAAAGCTTTCGTGACTGCAGTAATTCATATTCTTAGCTCTTTCGGTAAAGTCACGTTGAAGGGAAACAACAAAATAATAAAAAATATATATAAAACAATAAAAAATTCTCACGACGTTTCGACCATAACACAAACGGTCGTCTTCAGGTGTGTTGGTTTGCAAACCAACACACCTGAAGATGACCGTTTGTGTTATGGTCGAAACGTCGTGAGAATTTTTTATTGTTTTATATATATCTTATTATTTTGTTGTTTCCCTTCAACGTGACTTTACCGAAAAAACTAAGAATAGGAACTGGTCAACTCGATCTCACCAGCGCACGTATGCAACCGCGTTTTTGCCCTTACAGCTATCGTGCGGCTTCCGTCCCGCCAACTAAACACTCGCCGCGGACAAACAAATGGACGCGCGAGGAGGGCGCCACAGCATCCGCGCGTGTGCACCATCTCAGCCGAACGAAGCACCTGCGAGGTGGAGGGCAGGCGCTGGAATCCGTGCAGCAGGGGAAAGCGCAGCGGGTTGGTCCAGCGCGGCACGTCGTAGCACAGCGACGGGGGGCACGGCGCCACGCAGCACCGCTCGTCGCACCGCCGGTGCGAGCCGCGGCGTGCCGACGCCGTCGTCGATGGCGGCGGCGACGACGTGGCGGACGACGTCGTGGCCCCGCGCTGCCCTCGCGCGTCGCCCCGAGCCGGCGGAGCTTCTGCGCTCGCCAGCAGCTGCAGGCGCCGGCCCTCCTCCTCCAGGCGCCAGCGCCGCTCGGCCCAGTCTATCCCGGCACCACCGACGACGACGTCGCGGGTGGGGGAACCGAACAAGTGTGGGCTGGGCATGGCCCAAGACTTCACGTCAAGCGGCCCACGGGCCACGCTAGGGCCAACCACTTCGACGTATTTAGCCGTCATTGCGAGCACCAAAGCTGGACTAATCGGGCACCGGAATATCGTCCAGCGGGTAACAACACCGTGTTTTATCATTTCAGCGTGCTCCGCCACTTCTGCCACTGCAAAAAATCTACCCCAAGTAATCGGGAGTTGGCTGGATTTTTTTCTGATTTGCCAGCGCGGATCATGGCACTTCGCCGCGGACCCTTAAATACAAAGTCTGCAGCTGTTCACGCCCGAGTCTACATCACCCTTTTCAAGCTCTTATTTGCCACAGCCCCTTAAGGGTCTGCCGACTGCCAGATGACATGCTCTGTCACGCGTTGAACATCTTAACAATAACTTAAAATATTCATCATGAGCCATAACTCCACTGCTGGATGAAGACGTCATCAAACCGTTGCCATTGTTCGCGGTCCTGCGATTGAACAATCCGTCCAACACCCGCACGTGAGCCGATATCAATGCTCCATCTCGATGGGGAACCGGCAAGTTGACTTAATGCACTTTAAACGTGAAACATTCGGGAAGTAAATCCAATCGTGTGAAATTAATAAAAAAAAATTCCGAATGAGACGACACCCAACCCCACCACCCCCCACCGACACTTGTGAACCGAGCGGCGAGTGAGGAAGGGCCGAGTACCTCGTTTCAGGGTGGACAGGATCACGTCATACTTCCCCATCACGGTGATCATCGAGAAGGACTGCACAAGTGCTGTCACGCAGGCACAAACACGCACGCCAACACAACGATGAACACACGCTTCTTAGACTTGTGAAATGACAGGGTGACACCTGCCCGTCTAAACGGGTAACTACTCTTCTTAGACTTGTGAAATGACAGGGTGACACCTGCCCATCTAAACGGGTAACTACTCTTCTTAGAGACTTGTGTAATGACAGGGTGACACCTGCCCATCTAAACGGGTAACTACTCTTCTTAGACTTGTGTAATGACAGGGTGACACCTGCCCATTTAAACGGGTAACTACTCTTCTTAGACTTGTGTAATGACAGGGTGACACCTGCCAGCCTGAACGGGTAACTACTCTTCTTAGAGACTTGTGTAATGACAGGGTGACACCTGCCCGTCTAAACGGGTAACTACGCTTCTTAGACTTGTGTAATGACAGGGTGACACCTGCCCGTCTAAACGGGTAACTACTCTTCTTAGAGACTTGTGTAATGACAGGGTGACACCTGCCAGCCTGAACGGGTAACTACGCTTCTTAGAGACTTGTGTAATGACAGGGTGACACCTGCCCGTCTAAACGGGTAACTACTCTTCTTAGAGACTTGTGTAATGACAGGGTGACACCTGCCCGTCTAAACGGGTAACTACTCTTCTTAGACTTGTGTAATGACAGGGTGACACCTGCCCGTCTAAACGGGTAACTACTCTTCTTAGACTTGTGTAATGACAGGGTGACACCTGCCGGTCTAAACGGGTAACTACGGTTATGGCTGCCTTATTATGAAGGTGCCGTATTCGGGGGTAAAGGTCAAGGGCGAAGTCAATCGAGAAGCTCCGGCAACCATCCCGAAGCTTCTAGAAAGGGGGCGTGGCCAGAGGTGGAGCTTGGCCGCGCCAGGCAGATAAAAGGAGCACCGAACCAGAGCTTCGGGGCTGTTAGCGTGGGTTCTGGGTCCTGGTTGCTTCGCTGCCGTCTCCATCTCTTCGTTCTTCTGCAAGAGCAGCTCCGTCGCCGCCGCTACGCTCGTCAACCAGCCAGCGTAGCTACGCAGGACGGAGATGGGCTGTGTGTTTGGACAGCCTAAGGTGTAGCCGCGTTACGCAGTGTAATCGCCCCGTGTGCTCTTGATAGATAAGAAGCCTTCTACTCGACGTGTGTCGGAAGTCGCTCACTACGCTTAACCTGCACGAACGGACAGGCGGTCAGACACACACGCGCGTGACCACGACGTGGACCACAGAGCCGACGAGGCGTGGCTCCCTATTGGCTGAAGGAGCGCACCCACGAAGGAGCTCACCCGCCATTGGCGGAGGGAGACGACTGGCGTCCGGCGTACCTCCCGACGCGGGAGAAGGCGAGAGGTGCGCGGAGCGAATGGGGGACGTTAAAGGGGCGTGACGGGGGACAGCAGCGGAGAGGCGATTGGATGGAGGGAGATTGAAGAGAGAGGGGGCGGGAACGGGAGCGAGGGAGAGGAGAGTCGCTTAGAGGGCTGGGGGCCAGGGGAGAGAGGAGGGCTTGGGGACGCTTTAGACGGTGGAAGTTTGAGTGAACGCGCTCTGCGGAATATAATAAAGCTTCTCACACCCACTTCCATTTACCCGACGTGTCGGAGTCAGTACACTTGCGGGCGGAGGCAGCGGCGATTGTCATGTGTTGCACCCGTAAATGAGAGGAGTAATATTTAGTGATTTTCATGACCTTTACAAAACTTTGCAATCCTGTCGTCGTTTTTTGTTTGCATTGTTCGTTGAAGCTTTCTGACCCACCCCCTAAAAGAGCTTCAGAGCTCATCGGATTTCCCCAGGATAAATAAAGATTCTGACAAGGATTCTGGCACGGCACCGTGCGCGTGTCAAGTCAAATCCCGGCTGGGGTCGATAAAATCAGTGCCGTGTTGTGGGGAAAATCAACAGTGCTTGCTTATAGAGAGACTCAGCCCCAGCCACAGGAATGAGGAATTTCAACCAAATGGTTCAGGGCTGTACAGATGGAGGTGAGTACCACCTCAACGCCTGTTTGGGGCAGGAAGCTTCCGTGCGAGAGTAGGCCGTTCCGCCAGCGCCCGCCGCCTGTCGGACTTATCGACCCACTCGGGGCAGGGATGGAGACAAAAATCCAGAAATCCGGCCCCATCGCAGAAACACGTCGAGCGGTCACCCTGGTTGGTGGCGTTGACGGTCACGACGTTCCGCTTGAGGTCGTCCAGGCCCTGCGAGATGATGTCAAACACCGCCTCCACCTTCCCCATCTCCCTGAGGTGCGACCAGAACCTACGGACGTACTCTGTAACGGCACGCGCAGCCGTGAACTTAGGAGTAGCAATGTGTGCATCCCATAACCATAACAGGTCAGACAAAATCACGCGAACACACGGATTGCATATTGCTTTCCAACACGAGCTTGCATTTGGCGAATATGGACCGTGGCAATTACGCAAAATAGCCGACTCTTTTGAAATGACGTCACTGGATCTTTTACTTCCACTGCGGCATATTTGGAGCGTATTTTACGGTTAAAACATCCACGGTATTAACCAGGTCGGCCCACCAGATTTGAACCGCGAACCTCTGCAACGAGCGGGGAACACGTTATGTGTCACCGCCCCTTGATGATGATGATGAGATTACACGAGCAGATCTTGGAGGTCTGGTGTGGACAACGCAACAGAGATGGGATCCCCGCAGAAGGAAGAAAGCAACCACGGGCTCCGCTCGCACCGCCGGCATTGCCCGCGGTAACTTCCTTGACCACCGTTCAACGAAGCAAACACAAATCTGCAATAGCCTCGTGCAAAAATGCTCGGCTGCCGTAATTCCCACGAGGCTGCTTTTTTTTTCTTTTCTTCCCCACTCACCCACGTCCAGTTGTGAGACGTCATGCGCAGGTGCCGACAGGAGGTGCAGCAAAGGGGTGGACACATCCCGAAACTCCGGCACAGTCGGAGGCGGTGAAGGAGCGTTCCGGGAAGACCCCGGCGCGATGGTCTCGCGTGGCGGAGGAGAGTCCCGGGGAGGCTCGGGCATGATCGTAGGTGGCGGAGGAGAGTTGTGGGGAGACTCCGGCACATTCGCGGGAGGCGTGGGCGACGCGTCAGTGTTCTGGCTGGGCGCCGGCATGCTCTGCGCGTTGGTCGGCATCGTACATGTGGCTAAAGCAGCACTGCTTACTAGGGCAGCCGTCGTAAAAGGGTTCAGGAGCTGATGACGGGGATAAACAAAAAAAATCACACGTAAACGCACGAAGCTCAAGGTCACAGTGGTCAAAGTGTGGCATGATGCGCTGGTGAGAAACATGTAGGGTAAAGCAGCATCACCACCACCACCAGCACCACCATTGCGAAGAGTGTATATATTTGTGTTGTGTGGAAAAATGTAAGGAACGGGAAAGAGAGGAAGACTGAACAGAGTATAGCTTGACGACATAGGAGACTGGTGCCAGAAAGTTGTGGTGCACTACGTATATGCCACTACATATTGGCACAAGACAGAGGAGAGTGGAAACACGTGATGGAATGGGCAGTGGACACCTGTGGGGCTATCTGCCCATGGACCGTGATGATGATGAAATATTTATGGATGAGAGGTGTAGAGGCAAAGTGGCCAAAGACGACTCTGGGATCCCCAATCAGGGCCCCAATCAGGGCCCCCGTTGCTGCTCCACCCCCGTCCCTGGCCATCAAACCCCCGTCGGGGTTCGCTCACCGAATGGCTCGCGACGCTGTCCGTGTCGCTGATGTCACCGGGTTCACTCCCACACTCCGCTGTCGACGAACCAAAGCGTTCAAGCGTAAACTTCACATATAAAAAATAAAATATTTTGTTTTGCCTTTTCCCCAGTTTGGGTAGAATGGTGGCAACAGAGGTTAAACACATTATTGTTTAATAAACCACAATGTCACGGGTTCAACTTCTTGGTTCTTTCTGTAAAGTCACGGTAGAAGGGAAATAATACAATAATAAAAAATAAAACTTTTTGTTATTTTATTTTTTATATTATTGTTTTATTTTAATTATTTTATTATTTCCCTTCTACGTGGTGACTTTACCGAAAGAACCAAGAAGATGAATCCCTGCAGTCACGAAAGCTTTAAATCGAAATGTCACGGGTGTCTGGGGGATTCGGAATGAATTAAATTCTGAATTTTATTTAACATCACGAAGCTGTGGGAACTGAAAGGCATCAACAAAACAAATCGGCTCTGTGTCTGGACTCCAGACACGCGACTTGCATGTAAGAAGTAAGAACATTTAAAATTCACACACAAAACAAAGACGCACAAAGGTAACCTCGTGAATTATTCAATTCCCCTGCATGCATTGTTGATCTATCGTATGGTGGAGGGCTCATCATCAATGTTTGTACATTGGTGGTGAGGTCAGCCAATGAGCCGGGGGGGGGGGCAACTTCAGGAGTAGCCTCTCTGTGAACATCTGAAATCCTGCGGGCGGTGGTGCAACTACGTGGGATCCCTGGTGACCACAGTCAAGCAGTGGCTGTCTTGCAGCCGGCATACAGTACCTTCCTGGGTTTCGGTTTTCTTCTCAGGCACTGGACCCGCATTTTCTGGGTTCTCGGTGGCAGCCGAGCTGTTCGTCTGCAGAACACAGAGGCGGATGCAGAAACACACGTCAAACCCGCTTGGAACAGCCACCACAAACCACCACCCTTCGCCAACACCACCATCGTTTTCATCAAGGATAAAGATCCCCCGTATAGCCTGAGCAGACTGTCGTGGCAAGTGCTGTTAGCGAGCTCCGAAGAAGGCCAGCACCTCAATAGTGATGTTTAGACACGTTACTAGGTACTCATGTGAGGCTGAGTCGACCTAGTGGAGGCCCAGGACCAGTTAAAATAGCCGTCACTGGGGTTGGCCGCGAGCGGGAATCGAACTCGGGTCGCCGGGTTCGCAGCGCAGCGTAGCACTAACCGCCACGCAACCGCTCCCCAACATCACTGACATCACCACCACCGCCACCACCACCAGGGATGAGGTTGCTGAACGGTGCATCAATGAGTTGATTCATAGCAAGTCAATTCCCGTGACGATCGGGCTGAATCACGAGCGGGGAATGGCCCAGCGTCTCGGCAGTACCAGAGTCTGTTCCTCGACAGAGAATCGTCCCCGCCGAGGCAATCGGCCGTCTCCAGCCCTCACGACCTCCTTCACCTGTGTGGACGTGAAGGGGGTCAGGTCCTGCGACAACGAGTAGGTGAACACGTTGTCGGGAGATTCGGGATCGCGCGGTGACGCCACCGCCTGGGACAGACGAAGTCGGCGGTGCCGCTGACGTCGCAGCCTTCCCCTCTGTCCGCTCCGTCGTGTTCGCGTGCCTCGTCTTTCTACCCCTCCTCCATCGTCATCATCTGCGACGAGGCGACGCACGAAAAACCCATTGGTTTGGAAAGCCAACAGCAGGCCCTACCAGGCTAGTGTGACACGTCATAATCATCATCATCAGTTGTGATCAACCCACTGCTGGATGAAGGCCTGCCCAAGCCGCTGCTATCGCTCGAGAGTGTAAATAAACTTCTGAACGTCTTCTGAATGATACATGGAGCCAGGGAAGTCACCGAGACTCTCCGCCTTACAGGCATCCTGCGGCGAATAGGGCTCGCCATCGTTCAGCCATCTACTCTGAAGCCTTCTCTCTTGCAGTGTTTAATTTCAGGGGGTGGGGGGCGGGGGGGGTGTGTGCGGGAGGGAAGAACACAACGCAAACGTTACCGCCGCAGGAGCGAAAGGTCATAACACACTGCCGAGGTTTGTGATTGGCAGCAGCGGGGAGAAGCGGTGGTGCGGCGGGGACGCTCGTAAAAAAACCGTCTTCGTTCGAAGTACCCAGAGGTAGCTCGGAAGGTCAGAGTGCTGAGCTGCAACTGTTGAGATGGCGAGTTCTATGTGAGGAAAGCTTCCTGTGATGAAACTGGGGTTTCACGTGTCAGTGAGTCGATAGCCTCAGCCCCGCCACGAATGATTGCACAAAATAAGACCACACATTACCTGAGTTTCTGCACTTAATCCGGCTAAATTCCAGCTCTGAGAATGAAATAATCTTTGGCCCGATTGTCACGTGACAAAACGGTGGCAGGGTGGGTGGGTGGGAAAGTCCTGCCCCCCTCCCCCTGCAGTGTGGCCACTTGAATGTATCTCAGCAGTCGCTCTGTTACAATCAGCTTCCCTGGGTCATTCTCTAAAACAAAAGTTTACTCTGCTTTGCGACAGATCCGAGTGGATTCTTCGTCCCGTAACGCGACCGGGAGAGCACCGGGGACAAAAAGAGATCCGCAAGAACGAGGGAACTGCTGCACGTCGCGACGGTCCGGGATAGAGTTGGCGCACCTTCCGTCGCCCACTTGCGTTTGCGCAGGAATCCCGGGGACCAGCCTGCACCGCAGCAGCTCCCGCTATCGTGTGCCAACACCTGGGAGGGATGGCGGCATGTGAGTCACGATTCGTTGAATTATACCGATTACTTTGCTCGCGATATACCCATAGATTCGTTGAATTATATCGATTATTTTGCTCGTGATATACCCATAGATTTGTTGAATTATACAGATAATTTTGCTCGCGATATACCCATAGATATGTTAAATTATACCGATTATTTTGCTCGCGATATACCCATAGATTCGTTGAATTATACCGATCATTTTGCTCGCGATATACCCATAGATTCGTTGAATTATACCGATTATTTTGCTCGCGATATACCCATAGATTCGTTGAATTATACTGATTACTTTGCTCGCGATATACCCATAGATTCGTTGAATTATACAGATTACTTTGCTCGCGATATACCCATAGATTCGTTGAATTATACCGATTACTTTGCTCGCGATATACCCGTAGATTCGTTGAATTATACCGATTATTTTGCTCGCGATATACCCATAGATTCGTTGAATTATACCGATTATTTTGCTCGCGATATACCCATAGATTCGTTGAATTATACCGATTACTTTGCTCGCGATATACCCATAGATTCGTTGAATTATACCGATTACTTTGCTCACGATATACCCATAGATTCGTTGAATTATACCGATTATTTTGCTCGCGATATACCCATAGATTCGTTGAATTATACCGATTACTTTGCTCGCAATATACCCATAGATTCGTTGAATTATACCGATTATTTTGCTCGTGATATACCCATAGATTCGTTGAATTATACCGATTACTTTGCTCGCGATATACCCATAGATTCGTTGAATTATACCGATTATTTTGCTCGTGATATACCCATAGATTCGTTGAATTATACCGATTACTTTGCTCGCGATATACCCATAGATTCGTTGAATTATACAGATTACTTTGCTCGCGATATACCCATAGATTCGTTGAATTATACCGATTATTTTGCTCGCAATATACCCATAGAATCGTTGAATTATACCGATTATTTTGCTCACAATATACCCATAGATTCGTTGAATTATACCGATTATTTTGCTCGTGATATACCCATAGATTCGTTGAATTATACCGATTACTTTGCTCGCGATATACCCATAGATTCGTTGAATTATACCGATTATTTTGCTCGTGATATACCCATAGATTCGTTGAATTATACCGATTATTTTGCTCGTGATATACCCATAGATTCGTTGAATTATACCGATTACTTTGCTCGCGATATACCCATAGATTCGTTGAATTATACAGATTACTTTGCTCGCGATATACCCATAGATTCGTTGAATTATACCGATTATTTTGCTCGCGATATAACCATAGATTCGTTGAATTATACCGATTACTTTGATCGCAATATACCCATAGATACGTTGAATTATACCGATTATTTTGCTCGCGATATACCCATAGATTCGTTGAATTATACAGATTACTTTGCTCGCGATATACCCATAGATTCGTTGAATTATACAGATTACTTTGCTCGCGATATACCCATAGATTCGTTGAATTATACAGATTACTTTGCTCGCGATATACCCATAGATTCGTTGAATTATACCGATTATTTTGCTCGCGATATAACCATAGATTCGTTGAATTATACCGATTACTTTGATCGCAATATACCCATAGATACGTTGAATTATACCGATTATTTTGCTCGTGATATACCCATAGATTCGTTGAATTATACCGATTATTTTGCTCGCGATATACCCATAGATTCGTTGAATTATACCGATTACTTTGCTCGCGATATACCCATAGATTCGTTGAATTATACCGATTATTTTGCTCACGATATACCCATAGATTCGTTGAATTATACCGATTATTTTGCTCACGATATACCCATAGATTCGTTGAATTATACCGATTACTTTGCTCACGATATACCCATAGATACGTTGAATTATACAGATTACTTTGCTCGCGATATACCCATAGATTCGTTGAATTATACCGATTACTTTGCTCACGATATACCCATAGATACGTTGAATTATACCGATTATTTTGCTCGTGATATACCCATAGATTGCTATTCTTCGGACGAGATGACGCTCTGGAAAGTAAGAGGTATGCTTTGGGGCGATTAATTTTTTTAAGTGCAACTGGCACTGCCCGCACATTTGTGCGGGATACACGTCCGAGGTGGAGGGTGGTTGGGGAGGCGTAACGTCAGCGTGAAACATGAACCTGGCCCATTACGCAGATGAGGGCGGTGATGCTACCAACACACACTTGCCTGCCCGCCCGCCCGCCCGCCTGTCCGCCTGCGCGCCAGCCAGCAAAAAAATACATAGTATACTTTATAATCGGGAGAATGTGGTATTATAGAGAGCCATCTTTCAGAAGATGATGCTTGAACGCGCCGCTTTAAAAATGGGAAGAGAGGTCTTCTGGATGGAAATTCTGAACTGCTGATGGTGTTTTGGGTCCTCTGGGTGGTCACGTTTTTGCTGTAGCGACCTACCTCAAGGACGATGATTCTGAACAACTAGATGAAAACAAAATCTTCCAGAGGACAACAGGACTGCCAACTTTAAGCTTTGAAGATAAATGGGGGAAAGCCAAGTGCGTGTTATCATCTGGGGAATATGGTAGGAAAGAGACGGACTTTTGTCTGCTTATTTTATGTTTACTCAATTCAAGCAAAAACAGCCGCCTGGGGTCACTCACTGCTGCTGGTGCCTCCGTCGCCACAGCCGCCCGCGGTGCTGCTGCTGCTGCTGCTAAGTCAAACGTGCGTCCAGACGTTGGCTGTGCGGGCCCGGGCACTGCAAACATAGCGGACAGCGGGAGGGGGGGCCTTGAGCACTTGTGAGGGGCTGGCAATCGTGGGAAACAACACTCGGCATGCCGGAACACGCGCCACTCACCTCGACGATGCACACAACCCACGGGCGGCTTAAGACGCCCGCGCGTAAGAATGTGCGAGTCGTCGATTGGTGGCACCAGCGGCAGGGCTTTCGCCGCTCGCTGCCGGTTAATAATAAATGCGGGTGTGTTAGGAACACGATACGCACCACCTTTCAACCTTCAAGACAACCTCGTGCTACAAGAATGACACGAGCACAAAACGTCCGAATGATTTGATTTTGATTTTGATTGGATCAAACAGAATCGTATTTGTTTTGTCTTCTTCCAAAATTGCGCTCTCAATGTACTCCGTGGTAGCACGTCATCATGGGAAGCGGAAATGGGTCAGAACTCTCACACGGGAGTGGATCGCTTCGTGTTAGGCGATGTGCCCTGCAAGAGGAAGACAGGTTGAACTATAACACTAAACTCATTTTATTTGAGCAGGAAAGGACCACTGAGCTACACAGCTCTTTTTCAGAAGCGACGCGGCTATCGCAGATGATAGCCCAACGAAGCGTTGCTTGTCATCGTGTGGAAAAATTCACAGCAGCCAAATACAGTGAGGGGGAAAAAAGTATTTGATTCCTCTGCTGATTTTGTACGTTTGCCCACTGACAAAGAAATGATCAGTCTGCCATTTTAATGGTAGGTTTATTTGAAAAGTGAGAGACAGAATAACAACAACAAAATCCAGAAATAAGCATGTCAAAAATGTTATAAATTGATTTGCGTTTTAATGAGGGAAATAAGTATTTGACCCCCTCTCAATCAGAAAGATTTCTGGCTCCCAGGTGTCTTTTATACAGGTAACGAGCTGAGATTAGGAGCACACTCTTAAAGGGAGTGCTCCTAATCTCAGCTTGTTACCTGTATAAAAGATACCTGTCCACAGAAGCAATCAATCAATCAGATTCCAAACTCTCCACCATGGCCAAAACCAAAGAGCTCTCCAAGGATGTCAGGAACAAGATTGTAGACCTACACAAGGCTGGAATGGGCTACAAGACCATTGCCAAGCAGCTTGGTGAGAAGGTGACAACAGTTGGTGCAATTATTCGAATATGGAAGAAACACAAAGGAACTGTCAATCTCCCTCGGCCTGGGGCTCCATGCAATATCTCACCTCGTGTAGTTGCAATGATCATGAGAACGGTGAGGAATCAGCCCAGAACTACACGGGAGGATCTTGTCAATGATCTCAAGGCAGCTGGGACCATAGTCGCCAAGAAAACAATTGGTAACAGACTACGCCGTGAAGGACTGAAATCCTGCAGCGCCTGCAAGGTCCCCCTGCTCAAGAAAGCACATATACATGCCCGTCTGAAGTTTGCCAATGAACATCTGAATGATTCAGAGGACAACTGGGTGAAAGTGTTGTGGTCAGATGAGACCAAAATGGAGCTCTTTGGCATCAACTCAACTCGCCGTGTTTGGAGGAAAAGAAATGCTGCCTATGACCCCAAGAATACCATCCCCACCGTCAAACATGGAGGTGGAAACATTATGCTTTTGGGGTGTTTTTCTGCTAAGGGGACAGGACAACTTCACCGCATCAAAGGGATGATGGACGGGGCCATGTACCGTCAAATCTTGGGTGAGGACCTCCTTCCATCAGCCAGGGCATTGAAAATGGGTCGTGGATGGGTATTCCAGCATGACAATGACCCAAAACACACGGCCAAGGCAACAAAGGTGTGGCTCAAGAAGAAGCACATTATGGTCCTGGAGTGGCCTAGCCAGTCTCCAGACCTTAATTCCATAGAAAATATGTGGAGGGAGCCGAAGGTTCGAGTTGCCAAACGTCAGCCTCGAAACCTTAATGACTTAGAGAAGATCTGCAAAGAGGAGTGGGACAAAATCCCTCCTGAGATGTGTGCTAATCTGGTGGCCAACTACAAGAAACGTCTGACCTCTGTGATTGCCAACAAGGGCTTTGCCACCAAGTACTAAGTCATGTTTTGCAGCGGGGTCAAATACTTATTCCCTCATTAAAATGCAAATCAATTTATAACATTTTTGACATGCGTTTTTCTGGATTTTGTTGTTGTTATTCTGTCTCTCACTGTTCAAATAAACCTACCATTAAAATTATAGACTGATCATTTCTTTGTCAGTGGGCAAACGTACAAAATCAGCAGGGGATCAAATACTTTTTTCCCCTCACTGTACTCTCAGCGCATGTTTCTCAATCTAGAGGGGAAAACCTGGAGGACACAGAGAAAAATCCACACGACCACAGGGGAGAGAGAGAGAGACAGAGACAACATGCAAACTCCAAATATACAGACGTCAGGGCCGGGATCAAACCCACGACCTCCTGCATACCAGGCGAGGTTGCTGACATCTCGTCGCCGTGGTGCCCAGATGTAATCGCAGAGCCACTTTTAAACCACGTCAAGTGAACTCGAGTCGGGACTTAAGGGGGCGCCGCATCTTTCCACGCGCCCTGCTGTGGAGCCGGTCTTGGGCATTGTGGGGTTTTCCATTGAATGTGATGGGCTTTTCCGGGGTGGCCACAGGTGACCTGGCCTCATAACCCTGGGCTCTTGAATGCCTCGGCAGCACTGTTATTTCTGTCATCAAACGCTCGTGTCTTCCTTTGCGCTTCGAATCGATGAGTGCATCGCGAGCATATGTAATGATGTGTATTTGTATTCTTGGTTCTTTCGGTAAAGTCACCACGTAGAAGGGAAACAATCAAATAATAAAAATATGAAACAATAAAATTCTCACGACGTTTCGACTGCAATACAAGCAAATCATCATCAGGTGTGAAAACCACAGCAAGAAAATTTGAAAAAAGTGGCGGTTATTTTTACGTTAGCACCACGGAGAGCGATTTGACAGTTTGTTCAGATGGACGAGTCCACCTATGTTCGGAAAAGAGGAGGGGGGAGACGAAAATAATGGATGCGGTCTGAAAATCAATTAAGACCCGAAATGGTTGATCAAATCCTTTAATGATTGCTAAGCCAGAATCCATCTTCTCGGTTGAAATTGTCTCTGTATATGTGGATAGCCTCATGAACGAATCTCTCATGGTAGCCAGATGGCTTGCAAAGAACTTCTGTCTTGGAGAAGTCAATGTCATGTGAGCCTACTGAATGATAAAAGTGATCTGCCACGGCCGAGGTGTTGGTCCTACCGTGTTTTAGGTGTGCATTGTGTTCACGAATGCGGTCCGAGACATGTCGTTTGGTCTCGCAATCATTGTAAGGATTTGATAAACCATTTTGGGTCTTAATTGATTGTGGCTTTCAGACCACATCCATTATTTTCGTATCCCCCCTCCTCTTTTCCAAAAATAAATGGACTCGTCCATCTGAACAAACTGTCAAATCGCTCTCCGTGGTGCTAACGTTAAAAAAACGCCACTTTTTTCAAATTTTCTAGCTGTGGTTTTCACACCTGATGATGATTGCTTGTGTTGCAGTCGAAATGTCGTGAGAATTTTATTGTTTTATATTTTTATTATTTTATTGTTTCCCTTTCACGTGACTTTACCGAAAGAACCAAGAAAATGAATCCCTGCAGTCACGAAAGCTTTAAATCAAGATATATATATTTGATTATAATTATCAATTAAATAGACTGATCGACGAATCGACGCTTTGTTAAATGCCTAAAATAAATATACGCATTTTAAAATATATATAAGCCGGCCAATTAACTCAGCCCGCCACCCCTTTGTGGGGACGTTAACTTTATGGATAGACTCGACCCTGCCATATAAATGTAGTATTTCCACCACAGACTCAGAGCTGTAAACATGAGCATCGCCGAAATGCTCATTTGAGCAGAAAATAACTCGAGACTTTTAGCTTTTTTTTCTAAAGTCCACCAAAATTAGGAAACAACTTTACCATCACCATGTGTAATTGACCGTAGCGTTGCGACTAATTTACCTGGTTCCCTTCTTTTGATTTGGTGAAAAATACCAAAAAGGCAACAAAAGCTTTCGCTTTGGCACATTTGCATTTGCTGGTACAGCTGTGCCTCTGTGTGTTACCAGAATGTTCTCTCCACCGACACGAGGGGCGGGTGTTTTGCCTAATTGCTGGCAGGAACCCGGTGTGTTTTCGGGTTGTTTTTGGGCTGTACCGCGTGGCATTCACCACGATGTCCGACATTTCGCCCCACGTGCCGGGAGCTTCTTCAGGAACCGAACTGAAGCTCCCCGGCACGTGCAGGGAAACGTCGGACATCGTGGCGAACACCATGAGGAACAACCCGAAAAGACAACGAATAGCCACGCAGCGCAGCTGCGAAAAACCTACGCAAGTAGCAAAAGAAGGCCAACTCCAAGTCAGCAGGAAAGAGTTTATTGACGATTTTTTTGGGGAGATTATTACAGTGCTTAGACAACGCTATCACGGTCAATAAGAGAGATCCTCCGAGTCAACACGAACAAGGCACAGCTGTTTCAGCAAATACAGCACAGCAAAGACAACCGCCAAACAGGATGCCACTCGAGCACAACAAGAAATTGCGACGGCAGAGGAACGACCGCGTCCACCGCCTGAAACCGGCCGTGGTCGCCTTCCGAGCCTGGAAGACACACGGGGCGAGACAGCGGGCGCGGTGCCGCGTAGGGGGGGGGGACACGGTTAACGGGACCTACGAGGTCGAAGGTGACAATTGAGGTGGGCGGCCAAACAGGTGTTGTGGACATCGGCAAAAACAAAGCTGGCCAAACGATTTTGAATATGGCAAATGTTGCAATGGGAAGGAGTCGAGCGAGCGAGCGAGCGAGCGGATAAAGAGGGCAGGGGGCACTCGGCGGTCAAAACTTACCACGGATTCTACTAACCAACTGTTGCACGAGCACTAGCCGTCCTCCCGGCCAATCAAACGTGAGCGGCTGTGTTGCACGGCAAGTGTGCACACTGTGCAGTGGCTCCGGGTCTTTGTGTTT